TTTGGAATTATGTTACCTCTATTATGCACCTATCGATAATGTGGTCTCTGGTTGTTTTTGTATTTTTACTAACAAGGAACACGCACCAGTACCAGACTTGCAAGGCTGGCCCAACATTAGCCGACTAGATGGAGATACTAAATTGTCTCGCCTTCCTGTAGATTAGAAACATGTTTGAAATACAATCAAAAAAATTATAGCATGAAATTTGTGTGGAAAATTGATCGAGTTTAAAAGATGCAACTAAGAGATTGTTGTAGAACAACGACTTCTCTCCTAAATTAAAACTTAAAGTATTATCCAGAGATTTTTAATTTGATACACCTCTACGATAATGCTTAAAAATAAGCGCATATTTGAAATTTAAATTTCGACAGTTCGAGCATGGATAATTTTTTGTTTATATGTAAAATGAACTTTCTCGCTCTCTTAATTTCATTATTCTGAAAATCATGAATATTTATAAAAACAGCTATTTTTGGGGAGCAATTCTGCTCTCGAATTTGCTTTTGGCATGAAAATCTCTATAAGAATCGTATAATAGATATTGCAAATAATAATTTTTTGTTGTATAATTTGTTGCCATCTTCCAAATCTTGTCAATTTTTCAACATTTTTATGATGCCATAATTGAGTAATGTATAATCCTTAAACAAATGAATAGACTGTGGATTTTATCCTTTTAGAAGAAAATATCATCTGCGATATACAAAGTGCATTCATTATCTAAGAACGCACTGAATATCAGAATCGAAATCCATACAATTGTTCTCTAAGGATACAAGAAATTCCTATCTCGATTGCGTTTTTTAATTTATCATTTTGGATAAAACCCGCAATCTACAAATAAGTAATTCTATTAATTTCGTTATTTTTTCTGTACCGTGCAAAGTTGCGTTTCTCAAGAAATTCAGAGAACTTTCGAAGCTCATTTGTTGTAAAGGAGATGCAGAATCTTCCATTCCTTTCCGACTAAGAGGTTGAAACCTGCCGTCGAATGTCATGTAATCCGCGATTAAAGACAGATGTCGAGAATCGACCGTGATACCATACATCTTGAACACATCTTTTACTTCTTTTATGATAACTCTGTTAGCAGCTTCGATGCCGTACGTTTGAGAAATGGCATAAATATCGTTGGAATACAATCTGTTTAAATCCAGAGATCTATCGTATTTAAATATTTCCTATTATAACGAAATAAAAATGTGAATTAGTAATAAAATATAATATAACTATAAACTACTTCCTATCGATGTTCACTTACTATTATGTTAATACCATCGGTCCTAAGAATAGTTTCTCCATCTTTATTTTGGAATGTAAAAGCGCGTTTTATGCAAGGCACTTCCCATAAGACGACTCTATTAGCGACGTTCCTTATGATTGTTGGCAAATCCATTTTTATCATTTCAAGAGGTAACTGAAACATTCGATTTATAACAAACATCCTTCACGAATCCTCTTTTCATACTTACCCAAAACTTTAATTTACACCACGTAAATTTCGCCTCGTCGTAGTCGTATTCCAACGCATAAACATATAAATTCGTAACATTTTTCTTCCTCTGTTCATTGACCGTTTCATTTACAGATTTTACTGTCTTTCTGTTCTCTACATTGTCATCTTCGTCATCTAGCCTTTCTTCGTTAGCATTCGATCTCTGGTCTGCATTTTCCATCGCAACATCGTCATCCTTGTCAATTACATCTTCCAGCTCCTCTTCTTCCGGATCTTCGTACTCCTGATTTTCTTTGTGACGCGAGATCGACCGCGCTACAGTTGCATCCGCATCTTCCGCCGCTTCTTCTTCATCCGACGACTCGTGCATTTCTCCTAAGTTCGCCCGTGGCTTCGGAGCAGATTCGATGGCTTCGCCAGGTTCAATTTGATCCAGCAGAGCGTCGTCTTCGTACAACGACTTTTTCTCTTCTTCGACGTGTAACAAAGCGCCGGTTACCTTGGCTACCTTTTTTATCTCTCTGAATAGTTCCTTAAAAAATATTTCTTCCGTTTTCTTCAATACGTCACGCGGCTGCACGCAAAATTCTCCTTTGTAGGATTTGTGCGGAAGAAAATTAACAGTCATGGTATATACCAAACTCCTATGTGGCGATTCTTCCAATTTCCTGTTTACAGTGACATTATCTAAAACGTCTGACAGAACGCATTTGGCCAATTTTAGTCTCAATTTATTCGACCGTTTCGTCACATTATCCAAATCCTTCCGCAACGGTATTTCCATGCTAGGTGTTTTAATATTTTTCGATGCCATCATCAGTACTTCGCGCAGTCTAGGTATACCCAATGTAACGTTCATCTCTCCACGACCAGCGAAATGGAATGTATTTAAGGTCAGCTGAGAACACGGCTCTCCTATCGATTGTGCTGCTAATAAACCCACCGGTTCCCCTGGCGGGCAAACGGTTTTCATTACCTTCGTCGACAGAAGGTCTTTCAAATCTTTCTTCTTTATAAAAGGGTTCGTAGATTTGTTGGTTACATAGTCGTCTATCAGATTCTCTAAACGCTCGGAAAGAACGCCGAAGTTTATGTCTTGCCTGTATCTCGACATCACCGGGTCCGGACATTTCGCACACTCGGCGTAAATCCATTTTTTATTTTCTTCAGTGTCCCGTAACCATTTTCTCATGTACGATAGAGAAGCTTTACTTCTGCCACTGTTTTCATCGATTTCTTTAAACTTCGAAGCCTTAATGTTCATATCCTGCATCGAAAATCTCGTGAACGGGCTGATTCTTCTTTTTCGTAACGCGCTACCGTGTTTACTTTCCCATTTCTTAATCCTCTTCGCAAATTTCGAAATTTGTTCGGACTCCAAATCAGTTTTCAAGTGCTTTAACATCCCTTCGTCGACGATAGCATTTTTATTGTCCACCAAAAAGCCTAGCTGTTCTTTCTTCAAAAATCGCGAACCCGGTATATCGAGACCGTCTTCCCCGTAATAAATTTGTATCAAACTGCCGTCCGAGTCTCGTACCGTTGAATCATAATTCACCACCAATCCTTCGAGATGTTTGATGAGGCATCGTTGTAAATATCCTGACCTACTGGTTTTCACAGCGGTATCAATGAGACCTTCGCGACCAGCCATGCAATGGAAGAAAAACTCTTGAGGCTTGATTCCTGTCATGAATCTGCCGTCGATGAAACCGCCGGCTCTCGGGGATGGATCGTATGCAGGAAAACTCGGAAGGCTCTTCCCACTGATCATTAAAGGCGGCCTTTTCCCTTCTAACTCGATCTGTCCAAGCAAACAAGAAATCTGCATAGTGTTCACCGTGGATCCCTTCGCGCCAGATTGCACCATCAATTGCAAATTGTTCTCTGGAAACTTTTTCAAAAGACCAGCCGGTAAACACGTTTTATTAATATCATTCGTGTAAACATCTAGCGCACTTTTATATTTTCGATCGACCTGCGCCCGGAACTTCGGATTCTTCCAATAAGACTCCTCCATCTGAGATGTGACTACGTCCATCGGAGTATCCTCGGGTAATTCTAATACCGACCTGTGAACATCCTCCCCGATCTTCCTACAATTAGAAATAATTTCTCTTCGCTTCTTGTCCGCCTTCCTTAATAATAAAATATCTTCAATACCAAGCGTGAACCCATTCCTCTGCAATCCGGCTTGGAACAATTTACCGAAAGCGCTTAGCAATTGTGAGGTGCAGGTCGCGCCGTACAATTCAAACACGCAATGCACAAGGCCGAACGGCGTCGCGCCATAATGCATTTTATCAAGCACGCCGCATAACAGTTCCCCGTTTCGTATTATAACTTCAGCTTCCGACATCGTTTTAGGATCTGAAAATTCGGTACCGCCACCCTTCCATCGTCGCGGTTTCTCAACCTGCCATTCCCTTACATTGATCTTCGCACTCGCCGTCAGATTGATCCGAGCTCGTTGCAATGGAATAATATTAATAATAACAGTCGAGATGATTTGTTTGCCGGACCATAAAGGCTTCGGTTTCAGGATGCTGGGTGGAAGAAGAATTATATTGTCCTGCATCGTAGATAAAGCGGCGTAAACTAATTGCATGTAATCCTCTCGCGAAAAGAATGCTCCTCTTACTGTCATGCGGACACCGGAAACCATGTGATCTTGAATCAAACCGCTCAGCGGGGTACCATCTTTCGGCACGAGATATTGATTGCATACGTTGGCTATGAAGTATCCTTCGCTTCTGGCAAGCTCATTTTGCGGGAAATGCGCGTTCATTTCGTCGCCGTCGAAGTCCGCGTTGTAAGCCTTGCAGTTAGCGTAATGTAAACGCAATGTCTTCTCCCCTTTTAAAATCCGTGCCTTGTGAGCCATGATACTCGGTTTATGTAACGTCGGCTGACGATTTAGCAATAGGATGTCACCGGTTTGTAAATGTCTATGTACAATTTTGATGCCATTGAAAAATTTGTTCGCTTTGTCGCTTGTAGTTAGCAGACGTTTTGCGATCGCTTCTCTGTGAACAGGGTCTTTAGTCGAGATCCGTTGTATACTGCCGTCCTCGTGTTCGATCATTACCGCCCCGGGATGAACGTCGGGGCCGTTCAAAACTAATTGACGTAGTTGAACGACGTTCCAAGGTGTAACCGGCGTCGGATACGTTAATTTCAGAGCGAACGCTTCAGGAATACCAATCTCGTCTATGTTCAAGTTAGGATCCGGCGTGATGACCGAACGAGCAGCGAAATTCACTCTTTTGCCCATCATATGCATCCTGATAACTCCTTCTTTCTTCTCTATCACCTGTTTCAATCCCTGACAGTTCATAGACTCCGCCGTTTTATTCATGTCACGGTCCATTATGTGATCAACGTTCACCTGTAAACTTTGCCACGCGTTGTGCAACTTCTCAATCGGTGTATTCCCCTTTATTTGTTCGAAAACGAGCTTACCCTCCTCCGGTAATTGTTCCGTGTCGCCGTCCTGAATCGTTTGTATAATATTTCGAAGAACGAGACAATCTTGGATAATACTCTTATAAACCTGAGTCTGCGGATGTTCTATCATTTGGCCATTTACAAAATTCACTGGCCTGACTATAGGTGGCAAAACTGGTACGACTTCCAAGAAGAATATATCGGTCGGATGTTCGATGTCCACCAACGCGAAACAGGACACGATTACTTTAAGGAATTCCTTCTCGTTTTCCCAAAGGTTTCGGAGATATTCTTTCGATTGATCAGGCATTATCAACACAGTTTCTAATTTATGTATTACTCCACGCGACTTTGTCTTCTCGTTAGGTGCGTCAGATACTTTAGTAGTCATAATTTTGTTCTTCAACGTCGTGATTTTCGGTATTGGATTGTGACAATTTACGCAAACTTTCGGCGCCGTGTGTTGTTTAAGAACGCTCTCGACATACGCGTGCCATTGTGTATTGATATTTTTCGTGTTCAATTGAACGTCGTTGTATTCCACGATAGACTGATTGAGGCTCGGTCTGTTGAACAGATTCGTGCTATAATTCTCGATAACATTTTGAACAGCTTGTATGTCAACCTCGTAAGGATTGCTCGAGTCAGAAACGACGATCATTACTTCTTGCTGTAAGCCTTCGAGATCGCTGAAGTATCCTTTTTGAAGCAGTCGCAGGTTTGCGGATAGCAACAATTTTATATAAGGTGGAATTTGTAAAACGAAACAATTTAAACACGACAATTTCATTAACATGCATAGTTCTTTATGAAACAGTGGATTTACAACCGGCATTGGTAGTTCTATGTGTCCAAAGTGACCTGGACACTTAAACACGTTGCATCCACATGTTCCACAGGGATCGGAACTTTCTATCAGAGGACCTAATTTTAAAAAGAATCTGTGTTAATAAATTACTGGGATTTCTATAGTTATCTAAGTTGTTTACCTAATACTGGGTCGTACAATCCGCCTTTTAATGGATGTCCCAAAACATTAAAGGATAATGGTGTTCTGATTTTAGTCACGCTCAAGTTCCTCACGTCGTTCGCAGTAAACATTGAAAACATTAAGCATTTTGGATCTAAATGCTTCGGGGTTAAACGAGGCACATGATATTTCTGTTGTACCATTTTTATAAATGTTCTGTTGCGTCTTTAAGATTCTGAAATGACAAGTGGATTATTTTTGGTTATGTCGTAGTGTATTAAACGTACGTACCTTTGACGATATTTTATCTTTAAGACGAACGAGTCCACACTACGTTTGTAAGATATAACTATTTTATTAATTACGTATGATTTAGTAACTATAAACTAAAGGATAAACATTTTCATTATAAATTATAGGTTAGACAGTCACATGGCCGTCAGAGTCTGACAAATTGATAACAATGGATAATGCCATGCGCGGCAGTTGGCGGCAGCGCTGGGATAATTTTTACCTCGGCCGGAAAGTGGGGACGACGCGAACATGGTGGGGACCAATAGTTGGTGGGGGTATGCAGTGAGTTTCACGGTAGCGCATGAGGGGAATAGTAGTGGGGATCGAAATACGGGCGAAAAACAGGGGAAGCGAGCCTCGAGGGAAAGATTATCCCAGCGCTGGTTGGCGGCAGTAATGAGATACAGGCCGGGTTTTCTCGCGCATGCGCGGCTTTCTCAATAACGTATGTTAACGCGCACATATTGGAACCGAAAGGATTCTCGGACTCCTGGAAGTAATATTAACAGGAAAAGACCGAGACGAAGACTGTTGCTGGTAATATTGACGGGAGAAGACCGAGACGGAGACTGTTGTCGGTAAAATTGATGTTCAATTTGTAATCGTTTTCGCAAAATTATGCAGGGCGATCGCGGTACCCCATTCTATCGAAAATTGTACATTACTGATGCTGAAAAAGCCGCGCATGTGCGAGAAAACCCGGTCCGTAGAAGGTTTGAGCCCACAAGTGGTGCCCTCAGTGCGGTCCCGCCTGATTTTGAACATGCTTATTCCAGCTTATTCGTCTGATTCGCCTGGAACATGGATGCTGAATATGTGACTTGTCATTGCCATCATGATATTTCATGAGATAATCGTAATGAAGTAATGACTTTTCAAAACAATAATTGTAAGGTGTATAACATGACGTGTTACATTATATTTTTAGGAACATATAAATAAATGAAAGACCACATAGAGAAGAAGAAATCGAATGATGATCGCTAGGTTACTTACCAAAGGGCTTACTTTGAAAAGATTATGTGCTGATCAGTTTCCAAAAGAAATGCAGAATGAAAATGTCTTGAATATAACATAAAGATAGATCGTTAATAG